AGGCCAAGAAAAAAAATAGGAGGGGGAACAAAACAGAAACACAAGAAGTTATCAGCTCTGTGCCCCCCCCCTTATGTTTTGGGTGGAAGGAAGGAAGAAGTAAAGAAAGAAAAGAAACCAGTTGCATTTGAAGCGAAAGAACCAAAATATCTTTAAAGCCTGCAAGCTTTCAGGATTTTGAGGGTTTTTGGTTTTTTTTGAGAAATCTTTACCATGCTGAGTGAAACAAGAAGTCGGAAAACTTTTAGTCGGAGCTGCAAGCTTAAAGAGGCACGAGGGAGTGGGTTGTGTTTGTGAGTTGCCTCTCACACTCGCAACGAGGGGGCCGGATCCAGCCGCGGGGCTTCCTCCCAGCTGGCTGCGGAAGTTAGAAAAACAAAAACAGGCCGGCTCTGCCTCTGAGTCACGGGGGCCCCCCCCCAATAAAGAAGCGTCCTACGGACGGCACACCCATCAAAGGTGGCTATGGATGATGGGAGTTGTAGTCCAGGTGGACGGCGCCAGGCTGGCTGAGAGAAGGGGACGTTGGTGGGGATTGGGGCGAGGAAGGAGCGGGTAGAGAGAGAGAGGGAGTGAGAGCGATCCAGTGGCTTCCTCTTTTCTGCCATGGGTCCTCCACCNCGAAAGCGCGCACCCGCCCGCCCGGCCTCCGCTCCCCGGTCCGAAAGAAGCCACCCGGGCGCCGCGCCGCCTCCCATTGGCTGCCGGGGGACGCGGTCTCGCCCGCCTCGTCCAATCAGCGCCGACGGAACGCGTCCTTCCGAACGTTGAAACTTTTGTATCTTTCCTCCCGGGCCGCTTCAAAGGGTTTGCGAAGAGCGCCCCCTGCGGAGAAGGGAGGGGAGGGACCGGGACAAAGGCGAGCGGGGGAGGGGGAGGGGCCTCTTTTGGAGGGGGGGAGAGCAGCGGGAGGAGCTAGGAGCCCCCCTCTCTTGAAGCTAAGCAAAGCCTCTCTCTCTTGAAGCTAAACAAAGCCTCTCGCCCCCCCTTATGCACTGAGACTACAACTCCCAGAATCCCCAGTGTCTCAGCTGCCCAGGACGTTTTCGAAACAGGAGCCCAAATTAGGAACTTTTGTAAACTCGCTCTCGTTCTCTCTCTCTCTCTCTCTCAATTAACTTGTACCAGGGGGCAGTTCTTTAGAAGAACTCTAGAAGAACTAAGAAGTAACGTTTCCAAAGTTTTCACACCTTTTCCAAACTTTGCATCAGAACTTTGGAAACATTACTTTTTCAAACGACTAGTGGCTCCCAGATTCTCCACTGGCCGGATTCGGACCACTGACAGGATTCAGGGGCTTATGTAAGGTAGAAAAGTAACTTTTCAAAACTTTGCTTTTATTCTTTGATTTAAAAAGCAGCGGTAGCCAGCTTGGCCTTTGAAAATTTCCCAAATTGGGGTTCACACTTTCAGATGAGGGCACAAAAAATACCCCTCAAAAAGTGTGCCAGCTTTTGAGAATCACAGGTCTCTTCAACTGTGAAGATGCTACCAGAGGAAGCTAGCTGTTGCCCATGAAACCTTCCACTGTTGCAGGAAATCTCGAGAGTATTTGGTCTCTCCATCTCTTGCAAATGCACCGCAAATAAATTTCCCTGTTCAGAGGTGGGCAGGGGCCAGGAGCAGTCTCATGCAGCAAAGCCTATGAAGAATTGTGTGGCACCTTAAGGCTTGTTGTTGTTTAGTCGTTTAGTCGTGTCCGACTCTTCATGACCCCATGGACCAGAGCACGCCAGGCCCTCCTATCTTCCACCGCCTCCCGGAGTTTGGTCAGATTCATGTTGGTCACTTCGATGACCCTGTCCAGCCATCTCATCCTCGGTCGTCCCCTTCTCCTCTTGCCTTCACACTTTCCCAACATCAGCGTCTTTTCCAGGGAGTCTTCTCTTCTCATGAGATGGCCAAAGTATTGGAGCCTCAGCTTCAGGATCTGTCCTTCCAGTGAGCACTCAGGGTTAATTTCCTTTAGAATTGATAGGTAAGCTTTCTTTGCAGTCCAGGGGACTCTCAAGAGTCTCCTCCAGCACCACAATTCAAAGGCATCCATTC